GTCAGAAATATTCCAGAAAGAATACAGGCATGTCAAAACGAGTTGAAGTCACTCTCTGGATATTATTGGCTCGGAAAAAGCCATTTCATAACATTATTGGTCGAATGCGGTGTCAATCAAAAGTGGGGGGGCTCTCGGCTGCCCAATAAAAGTTTCATAATGGACACTGGCAGAGGTTAAACCCTTAAACCTCTCCCCTGGAAAATACAATGGAAAAACAACACGCGGGCGTTCTTGTGCGGGTTAAGGGGTTAAGAACCTTTTATCCTTTCCAACACTCCCCCTTCAGTTCGCCATCTCAACAATGCTTCTTTCTCCGTGCCCACCATTGATCCTAGGTCAGCTCAACAGACTTACAGCTCCATCAGTGTTTACTAATTGCTGCTGTTAATCTAGAGGAGCTTAGTGTGGAAAGGGTTCTCTGTGGGGTAGACTTTAGCTCCAAGGCGGTCTTTTTGGTAAATGGGCGGAGCTTCGGGTAAATAAAGTGTGCCTTGTATTAATTAGCAGGTGTTTAGACACCCCGAATGGTTGCCAGTGGAGATCCAGTGAAGATCCGAGAAATTTCCCAGACATGCAACATTCTGAATATAATAAAAACCTTACTGATGTAACAAATTGCACAGCTGCTGCTATGATTGGATTTTTTAGAACTTAGAAAATCTAACCCAAACTCTGTCCTCAGGAGGCCTGCAAGAAGAAAAGAGAAGTCTGTGGTCACAATGGTGAGACGTACAACACGGTGTGTGAGGCCTTCTCTGACCGTGTGGCTGTTGACTACCAGGGCCCCTGTCGTGCCGTAGGGGCCCTGTCAGATTTGGGTCTAGAATCAGTGTGTAGTGAGGTGTCCTGTCCACCAATATCAAGTCCAGGCTGCCACCCCATAATCCCACCTGGTGAGCATAGCAACACCAAGCAGTAGCTAGAAGAGTCCACAAGGGACAGTTTGGCCACTGATGTTTGACTTGTTTTTCCAGGAGCCTGTTGTCCCATATGTGCCAGCATGCTGCAGATCCTCTGGAGCCAGAAGCAGATTAACACTTTCTCAAAGGTATGAGGGGCTTCCAGCTGAGCTGTAGGGTCCATAGGTTTCCTCTTGCCCATATCTGCAGAGATAATCAATCTGATAACTCCACAAACTCAATCCTCTGGATACTCCTGACCTTATTTGCCTAAGTGAATCTTAGGCAAATAAGGTCAGATATACTGACCTTAAATTACCTGTGACTGATATAAACAGCTTATAGATTTTTTTTCTTCAAGAAGAAAATCTAAATTTTTGTGACTTTTTTTTAAAACCTATGGTATAGAGTAAGTTGCCTTTATTATCTTTCTGTGGGGAAACTCAGTTGTATCAACAGCAAAGTGTCAGGCAAGTCAAATCTTGTATATTTACACAAAAAACAACAAAAACATCAAATCTAAAAAATAAAAATTGTAGAATATAAATTTACTCCATGATAAAATACTGTGAAGTTATTAAAAATAGCACATTCCAATCAAATAAATGTACAACTAAGAAGAATAATGTAAAAAAAAAAAAAAAAAAAGCACACTATGTGCATGTGTATTACTGCATAATAAATAGGACAAAGTCAATTGTAAAATATCTAAATGTTGAAATTGTACATTTTTCTTTTTGGTTAAATAAAGATTATATATATATATATATATATATATATATATATATATATATATATATATATATATATATATACATATATATATATAATTTTTTTTCTCACAACAAGTATGTTATTTTTAATTAAAAATATTTATTTTGTTTAATTCATTAATGGAACACTATAGAACAAAATGAGTTTGCATTGTGTGCCTGCAAAGGTTGGAGGTTGCCATTTCTTAATGTATCCACTTGGGGGTGCCATAACTACAAAATGTGCCAAACCCATTGTTATGGCCAATTGCCATGTTTGTTTGGCTTCAATATTTTGTCTTATGCCTAAAATGAAAAACAGCTAAAAAAATAAAAATGTTATCAGTTTTACATGTTATTAGCCAGTGCATAATTTTTTTAGGAGTCAATGCAGCCCCATCTCCAGACGAGTTTAGCAGCAGGGCCATTGGCTTGTTTTGGGAGGGGGACTTACTTATACTTAGCTTATATGTTGCAAAAATCTAAGCATCTAATGTTTCTAATCTTTGAAGTTTATTTCTTTAAATGCAAAATCAATCTATGTAGCAATAATAATATTACTCAAGAAAACAACAATAATACAGTGCAGTAAAATTACTCATAGAAGTACCTTTTTCCCCAAAAAGTTGCACAAGTGAATGTGGGCCTAAGCAATAATTGGTTTTGGGGCCCTCTAATTCTGCTGACAATGTGGACTGTCTGCAATTAACAACCCGATCATTAGATCATTCACACACCTGCTATAAATGTATTGCATCTCTGGCAGTGCTGTTTAAATTATATACATGTATAATAGGATGCATTGATTGGCCAACTGATTTATTGACCAGTTGATTTCTGGGCGCGATTTCCTTAGTTTTGGGGGATCGTGATTGTCGATACTTACATGTGAAGCTGATCTTATTCCCTAATCTTATCTCCGTCATCAAAGGTTTAAAAATCAGCCTCTGTCCTCTTCTGCTCTACAGTGTGAGGTTTGACTGACAGACCAACCAGGTCAGATCTGCATGTTTGCAGTTAACAATATTCACCACACTGTTGCCAACTCAGTGACTTTCTTCCTATATTTAGCAACATTTCAGACAAAAAAAATTCCTATCAGCCAAAATCAAAATGGGCAGGTCAGGCTTTTTAAGGATCGCTAACCAGGGATCGGCCAGAAAACTGCAATTGGTGCAGCCAAACTTACGATGGAATACATAGACACATATTCACGACATTCTTTGATTAAATACATTTCTCTTATGCGTTACTCCAATAGCTAAAAATGTTATTTATAACAGGTGAGTCTTTCTCCCCTGAGAATGTGGATTGGTTTGATTCTTGATTCTTCCTGTTTATTTTCTCCCTCCCTGAAGGATAAGTCCTTTTTTGATAAATTGTTTTGCTTACTTAAGTTCTGACCGGTGCTTTGGACGTTTGGATGCGCAC